AGCCCTTTTTTGTCCTATCCGATGGACCAGGACGACCCCGACGCTGCTCAGTTGTTTCCTTACCGTGTTTCTTGAACTGCATGATGATTCTGTTGAATTCTGCTAAATTTGCCGCTGACTTATTCCACCATCTGCTTGACCAACTGTCCTTCCTCTAACAAAATCTGACAATTCGAGAGAACCTTGAGTTCTAGGCATGTTGTAGCACAATATAATTAGTGTGCGGACCATTTTCATTTATATAGTGCTCTGTGAACACAAATTAGTTAGCATGAATCAGTTAAATGACGAAAACTTAGGTGTCTATTTACTTGTGACCAATCAGTGTATATAAAGTGAAATCTGTTGTATGTTTATTCGCCAATTCCTCGCACACTATTTGACCAATCACCAACAAACTTAGCATGGTGACACCTGCTGTCCCCAGGCCAGAAGTAACATGAAGCGAGTAACATAATTTTTAACTAAACTTTCTTTCTAGAATAATTGTGATTTTAGTTTCTCCAGTTAGTGTAATTAAATTTACTACCTTACGATGGATTTTATGAATTTTAAAACCTTTGATAATAACATCCCATATACACTAACTTTTGAGCTTTACTAATTATTTTATTAAACATATATACATAGTTACTTTTTGCTTAACACCTTTCACATTCTCAACTGTGTGGGTGTTTTAACTATTTCTATTTCGATAAAAGAAGTCACATAGGAAGCGGGTGTTGCTGACTTATTGCCATCCTTCTGGACATAAGTGGGCATTTACCCACTGGGTTGAATAAGGAGCTGTTCAGGTTGAAAAATGCTAAATATCAACGTAAACCTTAGGGCAAACTTTCACAGGGACAATGTTTTACTTAAAATGATATTTTCAACAAAGAGTTTAAACCTGAAGTTAAAAAAAGGCTTACTTCGTGATTTTCCAGTAGAAGTAGATTTTAACTTTATTCCTGCAATCGATTAATGAGCTTGTAGGTGTGGCCTATCGTGGATCGAAATCGGATCTTCTGATTTGCAGCTCAGAACATTGTTCACTAAGCTACGTCTAGCCTTATGTAGACCGAGAAAAAAAAGCTTGAATAAAATTGCTAACAGTGGTTTGTTGTAAAAATATTTCTAAATGAGTAAAAATAAGTTTGAATAAAATATTATTTAAGACTAACGAAAAGTTTCTAAATATCAATAGTTTGATAGATTACCTATATGCAAGCTAGAAGATTTCTTTCACTGTAAAGTCACATACACTGGGTTTATTCAATAAGACACTATATATATACTGCTCAGAAACTTTTTTCCAATTCGAAATAATGGTATCATGTATAAACACACATGTAGTATCAATTTAACAACAGCCAATATCACAATATTTATAGGCTTTATAACCATAGTTATCAGTTTCAGATATCTCAAAATCGGCACTTGTTCTGTCACATAAAACAAAAGTAAGATCTAGCTCCTTTGCATTATTTAAGTGGTTCTTCAGTAAAATACGTAGTACTAATTCTAATGCTCGATCTACATCAAAACATTGCTTTCGGTCTTATTTACAAATCCAATAAAATAAGTTGTTTGTGAAAATGTAAACTCCACATCTAGAAACTTGCTGGTTATGCATGTCTGGGTGTAATTACCCATTTCTGTGCTAAAGTTTATTACTTTGTTCATATTCTCGACAATTCCCATTCATATTTAGCATCCATAATATATTAAGAAAAAATAAGCATTGTGTGTAATGAAACCTTTGATTTGAGCATCATACACAAAGCACAACGATAGACATTACCATAAAGAATATGGCGCCATCTAGTAATGTGACTCGAAACCACTTTGTGTTATCATCTCTTCTTTTCCAACAAGTAATCTGAACGATTGATACATAATCCAGAAAAACATGTCAATTAAAACATTTACCAAACAATTTCAAACTTTTAGCTTCAACCTAAGGTTTTTCTTACAGAAATAATCTTAAAATCATGTAATCTCTACTTTATTTTTTATATTTAACAAAGTAGACTTTTTTCTGTTAAGGTGTTATTCAGAAAATTTGGTTCCTACTACTTACAGTTAACTTTTTATACATTTAACAATCTTGAAAGTAAATAACTAAATCTATATTGTTCTTTTGTAGAGTGTTTATTGCACTACAGTTTACTACTATTAAATTTCCTCAGGCTATAGCATTACTGTTAAATAAATGCAAACTCGTGATCTTTCTACCTCTCCTAGATAAACTTTGCAAATTGCCCATAGAGGTTATCACATTTTTCACCATAAATATAAGCAGATTATGGTTTAGAATTTCAAGGATCTGAAGGCCATTCATATTCATTGGTCAGTTTTGTGTTGAAAACCCTTTTTAATATTTGTAACAGAAATCAGTAAGTACTGAAAGCCCACAAAGTCAGTTCCTATTCATTATTCTGTAATACTTTTATGCCACAATTTAAAGAAATATATGCATTTTTATTATATGCGAGTTTTCTTATAAGGCTATACAGATTGCAAGGTAAAAGAAGTTATAAGCCATATCTGATATTTCAATTGATACAAAGAGATAATGGCATCACATAATCCTTTTTCTTATTAACAGGTGCTTTTCATTTTGTATTATGCACATTATATTTATTTATATTATACCTGTTTGTTTGTTGTCTTAGAGCAAAGCCACATTGTACTATCTGCTGTGTCCACCTCGAGGAATCAAATCCCAGATTTTAGCATTGTAAGTTCATAAGCTTACCACTGTCCTACCGGGGACTTTATACTTGATAGGAAAAATAAAGACACTGCTAGAAGTTGCATAGTTTGTTCTCCAGTATAATAACTGCATTATCTTTTAAAGTAACAAACAGTCTGCTCTCTGTTTTACTACATTATAGCTGAAGTTTTACTGGAGGCTTATATTTACACTGATTATTCCTTCTGATAATTTTTTTTTATGTTAAGCCTAAAAAGAATTATTGCTTACATACTTTACAAAAATGAACTTGGTATATTGTCTGCTTGAGAATGTATATTTACATATTTTGACTGAAATATTTTCTTTTAATAAACAGTAAAAAAAAAGACCAACTAATTTGAAGAAGGTATGAAAAATGGCAAAACATTGTGTTCTTATCTCAGTTTTGCAGTAAAGCCCTGTTTTTATTTGTTTACCTAATTAACAGAATGAATTAAAAATCTTGAAAAATTAAGTCAATGTATATTCAAATGGCTCTTAGCTTCCTTAGCTCACATATTTTTTTACTGCCTTTTAAGGCAAATATTCAGTAAACATTCTTTTTTATCAGTAAGCGCAAATTTAAAAATACACAGCTTTCAGTCATAAACTTTTTTATTCCTTTAGCTTTCTTTTAATATTATAGAAAAAAACAATTTTATAAACGGAAATTATTGAATAATATATTGTTAAATGTGTTGCAGTATCTATAAATTTTAATCTTTTTTTGAGGATATAATCACAAAAATAATGATGTTCATGCACCTAAGTACCAATTTTGCAACCTAAACATGTGTGTGTGTGTGCACATGTGTAAAAATATAAATAAAACAAACACGAAAATCACACTTTTACTATTCTTTGTAGCAGAGAAAATATATTGGTTAGTTTTATTGTTTATCAGTTTGTATGTAGCACCTTTATTCATGTAGTATATGAATCTGAGCAAGTGCAGTAACTTTGTAAATTTGAGTTAAAACAATAAAAAACACCATGTTTTAAAATGTTTCAATAAAAGGAGTATTTTAATACCATTTTAAAAACAATTAACAGAATTGTTTAAATAATGGTAGAAACACATTACTAAGAGTTTTTTACAAATCTTAAGGAAAAAAGAAACAACCAACTAATGTATGAAGCTTGAAATTTCGTATTACTTAACCACATATCTTTCAAGAAAGACAAAACGTTTATTTTCATTAACATTACAAAACTGTTATCTCTTAGGGAATGAGGCAAACATAAAACTTTGAAGAGTTCATTCATGACAATTTAAAAATAAACCAATATAATATTGTTAAAATAGTATTTATGCTATCTTTCCTTGTTTTTGTTTTTTGTCTTCTATTGACTAATTCAAAACTTTATGTAACTGATTGTCACATCCAAATAAATATAATGCAAGTAATTGTTCAACTATTCACTGTCACAAATTTTTCTTTAATTTGTTACTTCAGACTACCTGAATGTTTCTGAAATACAAGTCACAGACTTGGGGTTTGTTGTTTACGATCATTGCATTTTTTTTAACTCTTACTTTTTCAATAACCTGGCAAAGTAAGTTGAACTAATGTAACCATGACTAAAAACAATCACTCTAAAAGGTGAAAAACTATCTAAATAAAGATTAGCAAATGGATCTTTAAATATCTCACTTTCTCCTAAAAGTATATATGTTAACCATATACTTGAAACTGTAACTCCGTATTGCATAGATTTGAATCACAAAATACTGTAGGTATAGAAAAGATAATATGACATCTTTAAATAGCAATGTTACTTTATTTATTTCATAATGCTTTTTAAACTTAATTTACATGTACAAAATTGGCAAGAAATAGAATGTCTACATTGGCACCCTGTAAAGAAACTCACCATCCTCATCATAGAAACAGTCATCGACTTTATAAAGAACTCCTTCTTTTCTCAAATGATGAGGTATATGAATCTTTCTTTGTATTCTATCATGCCTGCCAAAGGGATGTTGATATCCATGCTGACTATCATAAATGTACAACTGTGAGATGTTATCTTTTTCTGATATGTCCGCCTTCAACTCGATGGTTTCACTTTTGTTAAATTTAGATACCACTGCAGGTTTTGGTTCAATCTCTCCTTGATTAGTTTCTAGAGGACTGGGTGTTTTTGGTCTTTCCACCAATTTACTTTTTATCCACTTTTGGTAAGCCTCATCACTTTCAGTTTTGTACTTCTTATTATTAATCTCATTCATTAGATTCAGTTGGAACTGGCTTTGGGTTACTAGTGTATCAGGATAATGCTTGTCTTGCTTACTGAAGGAAGTAGCTGTGAGGAGGTCCTCAGTAGATTCTTCTGTCGGTGATGACCTGGAACCAATTTTCACTTGTATTGATGGTCTCTCGACATTTCTGCTTTGTTCTTTATGAAATTCTTCTGAGTGATTAAGAGGAGAAGTTTCTTGTTTTTTAATATCAATATAAGGTTTTACAATTGACAAAAATGTGGTTCTCTTAATGTTCTTATTGGTGGGAACTCTTGAAAGCATTACTTCTGAAGATTTGGGCATTGGGAGACTTGTATTACAACCTGCATGTTCAGGTAATAGCTTTCCTTCTGACCAGAGTTGCTTTGTTATGGGTGAAATTATACCTTTTTGCTCACCAGTTAATGTCTTCCAGTTACGTAGAACACCTTCATCATGTTTCCTGATCCTATCTTCCTTTGCTGAAGTAAACTTGCTCTTTAAAATTTTCTGGAATTTAATAGAAAACTCAAAATGTGTATTTCGTCTTTTGAAACTGATCAAAGTAGATCACCAAAAAATGGTTTATTAAAAAAAAGACAAACTAATATTCTTCAGAATACCTGAGCATTTGTACATTGACAAGATTTAGATGCAGTATCTATGAGATAATTGTTGAAAAACCCTAAAAATTCATCTTTAAAATAGTTAATTTTCGTTATATAAACTAGGGTCTATAAAGCTTCAAGTTGTTTAAATTTCATATTTTGAAATAATCTGTTCTATATATTTTATTTAACATCCAAGTATATTTTTCTTGTTAGTAGGTCACTGTTCAACTTTTAATAACTTTATGTAGATTAATAGATTGGATTTTGTTAAAAATACAAAATATTATCTGATACAAACCAGTTCTGAAGGACAAAAAAATTGTTTATTTTCCTGTACATTTCAATGATTTGATTAAAATGCTTATGTCATTTAAAAGTATTTGGTAACAGATCATGAACATTTTTTTCTACTATTTTGCAACTAAAAGAGTAAAGTACACAAACACCAAAACATTCCATAACATATAAAAACAAAGTCAGATTTAAACTCAACCATCTCTGATTTATATCCAACTTGGTATGCAACATTGTTTCAGAAAAAAATAAAATAATGGACTATATAGTATACGATGGATAAAGTGGATACAGAAAATTGGGAAAAAAGAACTAATTACCTGTATTACATTATTTTGCAACTAACAATATTTTCATGTACTGTATTGTTGCTACAGGAAAGACAATTAGTTTATCTTACAATTTAATATACAGTAGAACCTCAACATTAAGGGCACCCTTCCAACTGTGTCCAAATGTCCTCTATAGCAAGGTACCCTTAATATCAAAAATCAGCTGGATTCCATATTGACTGTACTAAGTTGCTGAGTTTCAAAGCCTCCCCATTTTGTTTGGTGTATGCAGGACACAGGTGTTTGTGAGTTGCATGTTCCCATGACATGGAGCATTTCCAACAGGAGGCCTCAGAGGGGTGTATAGCTGTGCCCTTTTTTCTTTATTATTGGTCAAAAAGTTTCAAAGTACTTCTCTTCAGAGTTTGAACTGCTAAATGTTTCACATTTATTTTCTGTGATATTTTAGTGTCAACGACTAAAGTAGAAATCTGCTGAAAATAAAGCAACAGATCACCGATTGTGTCAATAGACTGTTCATGGAACACCATAATCCAATACTTTCGAGAGCAACAAAGAAATAAGCCGACTTGACCCCTTCTCTGAGAACATGATGTGGAATTTATCAGCCGATCCAATAAATATCGCAATTGTTTGAATATTGGTCATCCTTCTAGGATGTTTGGAATTTAGCAGTATACTGTACAGGCATAAAAAGATAACTGCCCATTTTATCAAGTGCACGTATAGAAAATGAAACTAAAGACACTACCCTTAATCTGGAATATCGAGGTACCTGTTACTGCAAGATTTATTTTGGTTACAAATTGTAGAAAAAAGAAAGAAACTGAAAAATGTCTGCCCTCAATGGTGTGGTGCCCATTAATCAAAGTTCTACTGTAGTATTTGTAACCATAAAGTATCGTTATTGTTCACTTTCTCTAATATTCAAATTATTTTTCACACTTTAAAAGAATTTATCAACACCACTGCAGTCTTTAGCCAACAGGTTCCTTATTTTGTTTACAATCATAAGTTAAATAATACATTAAAAATCATTTTGTTTATTATTTGGAGGTTCAAATATCACTTGTTAAACAATGTTCAAAGTGTTTAAAAGTATAGTAATGTTTATAAAACATTTTTTTTCTATTTGACATGGCCATTATGCAAATTAATATAACTATCAGATAGTGCATAACATATTCAATAAAAACAAGAAATAAAGCTAGTGAACATGCAGCATTATCTGTATAACCAATTATGCAATCACATGTTTTTATGTTTGTGTCCATTAGGTTCATGTTGCATGTTCACATGGTCAACCAAAGATGTTTGCCACATTACTATCTATATACCTTCCATTCTTTTTGCAATCAGTACAAAGTTACCTAGTTCACATTGCTTAAAGAATATAGATGTACAGTTTATCACCTCAGATCAAATGCCAAAGGGAGCTCTGCTTATGAACCTTGTACTGTAGAACTTAAACTTATCTCCAGAGTGAAAAGAAATTGCCAGCATCTAATAACAAAGTATTCTGAAATAAATGCCAACAGCAGTATTTCCAGTATAAACAATGTGGTGCACATCATGATTTAGTCATAGTAGTTGATGACCACAAGGACATAACTGACCCTTTACAAGCAGCAGAGTTGAGTCCAAAGCTGAGAAGCTAAGCAACAGATCAACAGGAAGAAATGGAGTCAAGTCTGTTATTTGCCCTAAACATAGGAGTATATTATTTCAGTTAAAGCCATGACCCAGATGCTTGTAAATCAGCATATTATTACTCCTGCTAGAGTAAAGTGTTACCACTCACCTAAATGGAAAATGTTTTTCCACATATTATTCAACTGAATGAACCTTAGCTGTAGGACCACATACTTAAATAGGTCTAATATCCTGAACTAACTGAAAAGCACAGCTGCCCAATGATTAACAATGATAGACTAAGCAGCCACTTAAACTCACAGATTAGGAATCTTACAAGATTACAAAGATCTTGGATTGATGACTTAGCATTCAGGCTTAGCTGACCTGTTGATTAATATGTTCATATCTGTGCTTTCAGCACTTGTTCACGTGTGCTCACAA